TTCTCTCCGTAGTCGTGCGAAGCTTTCTGTCGAGAAAGCTCCGGGATTAGAGTCTGTGTGTATCCGTCACGTGTTACAACGTGACGAAGAGTTCACGCGCCGCGGTACAGGCATATAGTGAGGGCAGCTGCAACCACCGCACTGCATCACCGCGACGCCCAGCGCCACGACGCAGTACGACGACTAACAAGCCTCCTTCGCCTTCCGAACGTTTTCGCACTTGGCCGAGTATACATATATATGTGTATATATATATACTTTTTTTTTTATTCCGTTTTCGTGTTCTTTTTTTTTGTTTTGTTTTCCTCTACACACGTCGAACGAGATCTATCACCGAATCGATGCCAATGTCCCGGCACTTTTCGCCACGGAACAATTTACAATTTGCCGTCCGACGGTGTTGTTTTTTTTTTTTGGTTTTTCGTCGCGTCGAAGTCGCGTCGTCGTGTGCGTTCCGTCGAGCTTTAAAAAACACGTCAAGGCGTCGGTCCGATATACATGTATAGTACCGTACACACATATACATATATATATTTCTTTTCTCTACGTTAGTATCTTTCCGTTTCCGTTTTTTTTTGTTTGTTCGTTTGTTTGTTTTTTTTTTTTTCGTTCTCTTTCGTTATTCGCAGAGCACTTTCATAGAGCCCGAATCTACGCCCGGAGTTTATACGCAAGTCTGGAATCATATAAATGCACATATTATACAGTAAAGACAGGCAGATCTCCTCCATTTTCTGAGAACATATTCTGCTTTGCATACCGCATGACCTCTACACGAAGCATTCTCGATCACAGTGACGAAGTAACCGCGACGATTCTCCGTCTCTGCTGCGTTTTACCGAGAGGGGGCGAGACGCTCGCGTTGCTCGGCGTCGGAAATTATAAGGCACAAAACGCGCACGTAAGAACGATAATAACGATGCAAATTGACGGGTAACCGGGAGTAATGGATTTCCTTGTCGGCGGATCTCTTTCGCGAGGCGTCGCTCGCCTAATTATAATGCACGTCTCGGGCTCGCGCTACCGAAGAAGAGCTGCGCGCTCTTCCTACGACATCGCGACGATTCGTTAAGTAGGATTGGAAGAGTCGCGCGCGTCCGCTCGCTCAGAGTGATTGACGGATGTAATACCGCTCGGCGAAAATCGGAGCGACGTGCGAACGGCGTTGGCATGAATAATAAGCGCGCGCGAAACTCGGAGACGCGTAAATGCATAAGAGCGCGCGAAGGTGTCAAAGATCAACCGAGCGCGCGAGCAATTTGCGTAAGCTACTTCAAGGTCTGGAAAATTTGCACGTACGAGGGGAGCGACGGGAAGAGGCGGCGGGGGAGGGGGGAGGGGGGAGAGGTGGGTTTTGGCGAACGACGGGCAAAACGCACAGCAGGGAGGAGTCTCGTCCCGAGCGCAAAGGATCCAAAGATATCGTTGCCGCGCCGCTAAATCGACCGACGAGAAGAGCCGGTCGTTTGCGTGAAAATCCGTATGCAGCGTATTATCCAGCCGATAAACTACTCTACTCAATGAGCCGACGCTTGTTGTCGTGCGTAATATCGAGAGAGAAAGAGAAAGAGGGAACTACCTTGCCGCCGTCCGTACGTTGTTCTAATTGCAAAATCGACCTGGAGATTAATACGTGGATTGTAGACATGCGCCATGATGAGTCGGTTAAAGTTATCTCTACTTGCAAAAATGAGAAAGAGACAGAAACAGCAAATCCGGTTTCGCATTCGGCAAAGGCAAGACGAAGCGCGGCTATACCGCGGTATATCGCGATAAGATCCGACTCTCGGCGAGCCCGTCTCTTCGTGTTTCTTTCCGTTTTCTTCTCTCTTTTCCTCACGGGACCCACGCATGTCCCGCAGTTCGAGTGAATTTCGCGCTCTCTCGCACGGCATGAAAGAACATTGCACAATAAGCAGCAGAGTACATGTCCGTACGCACACAAATGACCAACCTCGTCCACTCTCGTCCAAGATTCAGCAGGCGGCCGTCAAGCATCCCTGGTGCCAGCTACGCTACGAATTCTACGTCAGCGATCAGGCGGTATGCACGATTAGTGTGGTACTAACGAGATTAGAGTAGTTTCTCTTCTTTTTAACGATAAAAACAACGAAACAATAGAGAGAGAGAGAGAGAGAGAGAGAGAGAGAGAGAGAGAGAGAGAGAGAGAGAGAGAGAGAGAGAGAAAGAGAGAGAATACACGTATTAATGAGAGATAAGATGCACAATATATGATCCTCGGGATGTTGTTCTCACTCACGTTTGCTTGAGCATTTGGGTTTGGCAAGAAAGCAATGGTGATGATCGGTCGTGGCGTAGCGGATAGCGAATTGCTCGACTATCGCTGTACCATCGTTCGTTCGCGCTGATTTCGTTAGTGGAGTTTCGGGACTTACTTGACAAGCACCACGTCTGAGAGTTCGGTTTTCACGCCGTGCTTCTTCGGCTCGTATTCCGCAATCATCGGGCGCATCGGCGTTCTCTGCAACAGAAAATGGATCGGAGGCACCGGGTTAATCAGGCGCGCGCACTCGTTACGGCAGATCGAAGCGCGCGCTCTCGCTCGCGCTCGCGCGCTGACGAATGCATTGACATTTTTGGACGTGCGAGCAACAAGCGCGCGTCATTTTCTCTTTCAAACAGATTTCGACAGATTGGGGTAGGTCGGCCCGAGTTTATACACAGCACCCGTCGGGTGCATCTGCGCGCCGGGATGCGTACGCGCTATTTTGTTTACCGGCGTGTTCTCTACCGGCACGGAACCGCCGTCGCTGCAACCTGCTCGAGTTATCAGCGAGTTATTATCAGCCACGATCACCGGTCCGCGTCGCGATTCCGGAAAAATCGACTGCGCCACGGGAATCTCCGAAATGTTGGAGCGACGGTTCCCGGGCGAGTTTTCCGGGAGCTTTTCCCTCCTCCTCCTCCTCCTCCTCCTCCTCAACGCGTCTTGACTCGGAGCTATCGCTCCGGCGTACAATCGTCGCCATGAGTCATCCCGATTACGAAGCACTATAATTCGCACAACGTATTCACCCTAATATGGGGACGATCGTCGTCCGTCGCCGACAGGGAGCTCATTTCCACGTCGTGGGCGCTATCGCTGTTCCCCATCTCCGCTCTTTTCCCTGGAAAGCCTTCCTGCACCCTTCGAGCACACACGCGAGCGAACACACTTTGCGAGAGAGCTGCTTTGCAAGAGAAACGTGGAACGTCACGCGCACCACGTGCACGAACGGCAGACGTTCATAGGCGTGATTGCTACTTGACGGCCACTTGGAGCAACACCCGACGCCTACCACTCTCGTCGTCGTGATCACTCGGCGATCAATTGGAATCGCCGACGGTGATCGGTCCGCGAAGACGCACCACGTGACGGGACGATCGGCTGTCGTGTGCCTTGGAAGAGGCGCAACGCGGAATCACCAGCGCGGTCTCTGCAAACGCTCGGGTGAAATTTTCTCTCTCTCTCTCTCTCTCTCTCTCTCTCTCTCCCCTTGCTTTTCCTTTTCTCTTTCTTTCTCTCTGAGAAAACAGCACGTAGTCGCGGAGTCACAAGAACACGTCGCGACGGGCCCGTTGCGTTGGCGCTTCAGGTTCAGGTTGCGTTTACGTTCATATTCACGACGACCGTTTCTTGGCCGCTTCGACGACGAAGAGACGCGCGCGCGACGAGGCGAGGCGAGGACGCGAAGAGAGTCTATCTTGAGACGCTCCGGCTACGGCGGCGTCCGCAGAGGAACGCGAAAACCGACGTTGGCGTCGAGCGAATAAAACGGGCATCCCTCGATTATCCGCGAGAACCCCTCGACGATCGAAGTGTGTGTCTCTCGCGTGTCCACTTTGCGCGCCCTGGACGCTCTCGCTCTCTCTCTCTCTCTCTCTCTCTCTCTCTCTCTCTCTCTCTCTCTCTCTCTCTCTCTCTCTCTCTCTCTCTCTCTCTCTCTCTCTCTCTCTCTCTCTCTCTATCCGGTCCGCTCTCTAAGTACGGAGCCGCGCGCGGCGTAGAAAAGCGCGGCTCCCGCTGCCAAATCTTTCGGCAACGTCCGCCGAGGACGGGCTCCTTTATATACCGTGCGACTTACGAAAATAGGAAGAGCAAACAGACGCGAGCGCGCTCGCGACTCACGTGAGCCGCGCGTCTCTGCCGGCCATCTGACCGCTAACCGAAAGGTTTAACACAGGATCTGTTTGAACGACACGACAGACGGACCCCGCCACCGCTGCCGCCGCTGACGTTGTTCGTCGTGGTCGTCGTCGTCGTCGTCGTCGTCGTCGTCGTCGTCGTCGTCGTCGTCGTCGTTATTGTCGTCGTCGCCGTTGGCGCGGTTTGACTCTTCAATTCAAGGGTTGCACTTGCCGCGCTGTCGCGCGACGAAACGCGGGAAAATCGCGGTGACGCAACCGCGTGCAGCGCCCACGATGCACGCTGAAGTACGACGGAGAAGAGCGGACGGAGGACTCGCGACGGTTATTTATATTGTTTCGACATGCGTCGTTGAAGCGCCAGCCGATCTTATTTCAATTCATTCTCGTGGCCGTAGTCCAGTCGTGCCGGTACAATGTGACATTGTTTAACTCATTACGCCGTAACTCGATGAAGCCGGACCCCGTCTGCGGACAAATGGGTCGGAGATCGTCCAGGAAAGTGATCTATTTGAGTTGGCGTCACGGACGAAAGAGAGCGAGAGCGAGAGAGAGAGAGAGAGAGAGAGATTCCTCTCTCTCTCTCTCTCTCTCTCTCTCCCCCTCCCGGGCGCCTTCCCTTCGATACGAGGCTACGCAGCATTATTTTCTCATCGCGCCGCGAAGTCGCGGCGAGAGAAGAGATATCGCTCTCTCGTTTGGAGAAGATACCGATGTCTACACGCGCCAGAAATAGCTGCGTCCTCCGCCGCGCGGAGGGAATCCTATGACGGTCCACGTCGCCTCGCGATTTGACGTTAGAATTATTATGACGAGTAGTCAGGCAGGCAGGAACGCACGTCGCGTGTCGCGCACGCAAATGCTGTGCAAATAACGCGTCGTTTAGAGCACGCCCGAGAATTTATTATGCCGTGGCTAAAAGCGCGCGCGCGAAACGTCAATGATACGCCCACCCGTCAATTTGAGTGAATTGTTGGCCGTGAAAATACCCATCTTAACGTCTTCTCGAACTGCCATTCTTTTTCTCTCTCTCTCTCTCTCTCTCTCATTCACTCCCCTTTTGCGCCGCTGAGCTAGGTGGCTCGGTGACGTCATTGTTATGTAAGCAAACACGCCGCTTATGCTGCGGGCCAGAATCCGTGTGTAACCCGCGACATAAATTCGCTCCGATTCGCAGGCACACCGCGAGAGCGAGTCCACGCGTAACCCACGTGTCTCTCGGCGCTTATTTCGGGAACTGGAAATGTCGTCGCGGGACGCGGAACGTCCGTAAAACGCGAAGGAGGACGAGAGAGTCCGCGCGCGCGCGCGCGCGCGCCCACGCGCGGTGTTCTCTCGTCGAGGTGTGCCGACCGACCGCGGCATCCCTCGCCGCGTGCGACGCACCCCCGCACGGGGGTTGGATGCCGATCAGGCGTCAGCTTCGCGTCTGGCAGTATCGTGGACAACTGGCACGGTGTGTTTCGACGGCGCCTATTTCCGTCGCGGCGCCTCTCGGCGAGAGCGGCTTTGCCGGAAAGTCCGCGCGCTCCTCCGTGATGCGGCGAGACGGGGGAGAAGACGCCTCATATATCGCCTGGGGAATCCCTCTGCAAATTTGTCCTTTCATAAATCGAAGATAGTGCTTCTCGGAACGGCGACGCGACACCGTCGCCACTCTTTCGGCCGAGAGCAAAAAGAGTTTAACGTTTCAAACCGCGGTGCGATTGGATGTTACGTCATCGGCTCGTGCGCGGAATCTTTTCTCTCGCCTTCCCGCTGTATCCTGATGAAGATAAATTCGTTCGTGGAACACGATCTCTCGGCTCGCGATGAGGCCGACGGTCTCGTCGAGGAAAAGAGATTGGACAAATCTCGCGTGAAAGAGCGTCGCAAGAGCGTCGAATGCACCTTCGGCTTCGGAAGGACCCGCCCGAGTCCTCCGCCTCTCGTCAATTCGAATTCGGCTTTACGAGGCTGAATTGCCTTCGTTCCACTCGATCGATTTCTCTCCTCCGTGCTCGGCAGCGAGAGTCTCGCGAGAACCGCGTCGAACCGCGCTGCAATGGTTACTTTGGCGCCGCGCGAAATGAAAGCAACGGGAACGAAGCGCGATCGGGAGCGAGTGGCAGTCTCTGGCAGATATTCCTGCGGCCATGGAGGTTGATTCGACGACCAAGTCGATGCAAGCCTGCGAGATCGCAATGACGGCGGACGATGAGCGGAAACCGCGAAAACACAGTCGCGAGAGAGCGTATAGGGTGGTTTAATTGGCGACGGGATGAAGGAAGGGACGTCGAAACGGGGGAGCCAAGCGCGGCCACGGCCTTCAAGACTAATCGCGCACAGTCATTGTGTCATTAGAGACGAGAATATATATATATATATATATGTATATGTACATACACGATTACGCGTGCAAACGTGGCCGCGTCTAGATAAAGCAGAGCGTGACTCGTGACAGTCGTTAAATGTATTCTGATATTGAGTAATCGCCGTCTGGCGACGTATCAGTTTTCCGGGTAATATTTCGTTTATGGCGACGCTTATCGATACCGCCGGCGTCGCCCCTCTCTCGCCCCGACGCGGCGACACGGTCCTCGCAGTTCCCGTCACGGTGGGCTTCGCGTGTAGCGGAAAGATAATCTCGCGATAAGTCGCGCGCGGCGCAGAAGCGGCGTCGTCTTCGCGTATCGAGCCGCTCGCGAGAACAAGAAGTGTGATTTCCGGCGTGCGAGTTGCTGAACGCGTTCGGCTCGTCTCCGATGGGAGAATTCTCTCCCATTAGAAGACCAAAGACACTCTCCCGTCGAACCGCACGAGAGGATATACATTCCGAAAGTCACGCGAACGCTCGCGCGAACGACATCCCCCCGTCGGCGAGTGCACGCGTCGACGTCCCGTCGAGAGAGAGAGAGAGAGAGAGAGAGAGAGAGAGAGAGAGAGAGAGACCGAGTCGTGCGAAATCGAGTCCGCATCCGTCCGGCGCGGCACGGCGCGGAGCGAAAAGTCCCCGGGGCGAATGGCGCGCGAGGCACAATGTGATTGCCGGCGCTATTTCGGGTCGCAACTGCCCAACCGCACGACTCGCCCGCCCGCCGCGAGTCAAAGTGTTGCGCAGGAAAAAATGTAGTCGTCAATAGACGGCCGTAAGGAGCGCGAGTCCAAATATAAGTCGCGCTGACGTCGCGCGAGTGCCGAATCGTAAATCGGCGCAATGGGCTCCTCTCTATTGGACGAAATTGCAGCGTGTGTTAGAGGTCGCGGCTTTTGCGTTCCTTTCGGCGCGCAGCATGTGACTTCAATGCCGCAATAACGGCGAATTGCGGCACCCGGTCTCTCTGAATGCGATTGATG